AACATGTCAGCAGAATTTGACGGCTCTGCTTACACATGACCGGTCGTTCCGGGATTCGGTGCCCTTTTATGGTTCATCTTCACTTGTATCTACGGCTGAAGCCTTTACATCGTTACTATCATCGTTCCTTTTTTTATAGGAAAGTGCAATAATAGTTTCGTAAACAAAATTTGTTTTGACTCTTGGCGAAATATAGTGACAAATATTCAGAATGCCAGATAGGTCAGAAACTATCTTTCCAGCAAATACCAATACTTTCTTTTCGTATCAGATTTCAGATCGCAAGCCATTTAACTCCATCACAATCCATCGCAATCCATTAAAAAAAACACACACACACACACACAAAGAATGAGATACTCGCTGTTTGTCACCGAACACACTTGTCAGTCACCCATCCTTATCTTTGTCTGCCTTCGCTCTAGTACACCTTCATTTATTGTTCCACTCTCCTGCTTTATGGGTCTGCTCTTGACGGGTGACATCCAACAATTCTGAAATCGCCGCGCTCGCAAAGCTGACTCGTACATTTCGAATTTCAGCTCGAAACTTTGTCACGACCCAGCGTTTCCCCGATACGATATTGAGAATCGGAGTTCGCACTTTACCGTGGCTCCATCGATGAGTATCTATCAGGATAAAGGTGTCCAAACTTGTTCAGGTTATTGTTTTTACTGTCACTTGTCGTGTCAGTTGTGACTGTGAGTTCTCTGGTGATATTCCAGCACGAGGCTAAAGTATTGCCGCTATTGTCCCCATTTGACGCGGCAGCGGCACACTTTGGCAAATGTGTGTGACACACTTCGGTAAGCTGTGAGTGTGTGTCTCCGGCTAGACGCCATCTTACAATGATTGATGGTGTGTTTCGAAGGAAAGATAATGGTCCGATATATTGCATTAGCCTCCGGTAATCTGATACAAGAAGATGGCGTGCCGCGTACACGGCGCTAGTTAGCTTTCAACATTGTTCTTGTCGGACGATTAATCGACAGATAAGGACTGGCCTAATTGACTGTATTTAACTATTTATAGAAGCGCAATCGACCGTGACATTTTGTGGCGTTAAGAAACTTCCTTCGACTTATTTCGATACAGTGTTCTTATAAATTGATGTTATAAGCGACATACATTGTTGAAAATTGTCCGTAATAATAAGCAAATACATTATATTTTCCATGTAATTTAGAACTCGTGGCTTTTAATCCAAGCCGGTAGCCTGCTATCGAAGTGCGATCTTTGTTTAAGAATAAATATGTTAAATCTGCACATGCTCATTTTGCATTGTTGCATGTGTGCGCCTACGGACGCATGGCTTTATGAATGCGCAAACGGTTTGAGCCCAACCCCTGAACCGGGGACCCTCCGGTTGTTGTCCGCCGCCTAGCAACAACGGGTCAGTCTACCTCCCAGGGGCAAAGTAGGTCAGCTGACCCTGACCGGCCGGTTAGCCCCGGGCGAGGGACAGATGGCCAGGACTGCGCGTGACTTGTAGCCACATGTTGTAACATCTTCTTGTTTTGAAAACCGACTTTTGAATGTTGATTTGAATTACCAAGTAGGTACGGAGACGGACAATGCCTCACATAATTAAGTTTTAGTTTACACCGACAATATGTGGGCATGAATGCGTCTGTGCATATTTTGTCCACGCAGATTTGATTTGTTGTCAATGAATGGGTTTCCTCGTCTATTCCGTGTTTGTGTGGATGTGTATGCGCTTTGCTTCTCTGTGTGTCTGCAACCCCAGCCAGACAGCAATACAGTAGTTGCGCCGCGCTATTCTGCTGCCTCCATGGGCTGTCATTTCCTGTGTCTGACCCCGATCCGGCCGCCTCCCCGGCCCGGAGGCTCCATCAGCCGCCGGCCACGGTCGCCGCCACTAAATGCCACGCCCCATGTGTGCTAATAGCGCCATCAACGGTGGCCGGCCGCGCATATTTGTAGCGCTGTCGGCGCGGCAGTGGCGTCCGCGGCGGACCGGCCGGGCCTCCGCCGGCTGTGGGGCGGGTCCGATTACCCGGCCGAGACGGATCCGTAATGCGCCGACACACTGCGTATCGTATGATAACCGGCTGATGTGACAGCTGAATGCGGATATGTGAGCATACGGGCTCATTCATACGCGCATAGCAGAAATATAACTTTATGATTTATGATTCATCGATATGCTCAAAAACCAAAGTCCTGTCAGCAGACACGGATGCCCTTCTTGTTTCACTTCTCAAATGATATGCTCCAGTGCACCGCATGAATTTCAGTTCACACCGCAGCGCAGCAGCTGTCCGTGCCTTCATGGTAGACTGCACCGCATTACCCGAACTTCACACCCCGCCCGCTAGATGGCAGGAGCTTCCGTGCCTGCAGGGTAGACTGCACCGCAATGCATGAGCTTCGAACTCAACCCGCTAGATGGCAGGAGCTGTCCGTGTCTGCAGGTAGACTGCACCGCATTACCTGAACTTTCGACTTCACTCGCTAGATGGCGGCAGCTGTCCCTGCCTGCACGGTAGACTGCACCGCAGTGCCTGAACTTCATACTAGCCCGCTAGATGGCAGGAGCTGTCCGTGCCTGCAAGGTAGACTGCACCGCATTGCTGTGGAGTGCCGCGGCGCAGTATGACTGACTTCAATCGCAACGGATGGGCAATGAGCATGAGATGCTGTTAGGGAGTGATTCGAATAGCTTCCGTCTGTAGCGAGAATTTGAGAACTTTTTGTCCGAAAAGCTGAATATTCTGTGAATACCTCTTGGCACCTTTTTGATGTTTTCTGAGTACATGCTGCAAACGAATAGATTAGATAGGAATTGAAAATCCGGCGCATTACAAGCAAGTTAATTGTGCCCTCGATTTGGAAAAAGTAAAGGCTTTTTAAAGTGGAACGCCTGACAAAAAAGACTGCTTTCCACTTAGCTGAGCTGCCCAAACAATGACTCCACGCTGACACATCTGACAATTCAATTCACCAGGTGTATCAGTTAGCACTCCCACCACAGAGGTCCGTACGCCGTCCGTACCAAACCTCCCTTGATCTCTCCGCCACCCCGTCACCCCCCCCCCCCCTCCCCGAATCCCGTGTCATATCGTGCTCCTGCCAGCGGTCTCGTGCTCCCTCTGACGTCAGCAGGCGGCCGCTCGACGTTCGTTAGCCGCACACACGTCGGCAGCGGTGTCCCCGGCGCTCCGCCACTCTATTTGCCTTTCTGCTGGTGTAAAATATCAGAGGCTGATCGGATTTGTGAGACGCTGTTGGCGCAGCATATTTGCCCATTTGACAAGGGCCACGAAAAGGCAGATATACGGGATAATTATGCGGCGATGAATATTTATGGCGCGTGTTCAGGTGCGACGGGTGAAAATAGCAAGAATGAACGACCTACCTGTGTTGTGCGAGCAGGAAACTCATCGCATACAGTAGGATTACAAACGAAATCTCCACCAGCTAAGGCTTCAGTGAACGAAAACAGCTTATGTGGCAATTTAATTGCAAAGCTGTAAGGGCTTTGTTATATCAAACGTCTTTTTGTAGTTCTCTGCGTCTTGGAAGCCTTCAGAGAAGGTTTATTTTTATCCGTATTTATTTAGAATTCAAGATCTGTCAGCCAAGGGCAAGGGCTGGTGACGCGCCCTCTTGAGTGCAGGCATTGACACAAAATATATATCCAATCTAATTGAGCTTCTAGTTCTCTAATCTAACTGAGATCACGAAAATAGTGAGGATCGAAGGCACCCACATCGGAGTGTGTAGCAGAGTACCGTGAGTGGCCTGGCCGATCAGGGTGTCAGCGGGCTCATTTGGTCGCGTCATTTCTTCCGCCATGCGCCATTAACTCTAATGGTAGAATGTGCGTGCTGCACCACTGAGCGTGAGAAGCTCACAGGGATGGTGAGAAGATGGTGTCAGTCGCACCACTGCTGGCGTGCTGACACCACCCTCCCGCCGCCGTCCGGGGCTGGTGATGGTGCCGTCAGGGCCTGGTGATGATGCCCTCAGGGGCTGGTGATGGTGCCGTCAGGGGCTGGTGATGGTGCCGTCAGGGGCTGGTGATGGTGCCGTCAGGGGCTGGTGATGGTGCCGTCAGGGGCTGGTGATGGTGCAGTCAGGGGCTGGTGATGGTGCCGTCAGGGGCTGGTGATGGTGCCGTCAGGGGCTGGTGATGGTGCAGTCAGGGGCTGGTGATGGTGCCGTCAGGGGCTGGTGATGGTGCCGTCAGGGGCTGGTGATAGTGCCGTCAGTGACTGGTGATAGTGCCGTCAGTGACTGGTGATGGTGCCGTCAGGGGCTGGTGATGGTGCCCTCACCGTTTTCCGTACGGTACGCTGGTCACCGACTGAGGCACGTCCCCCGGGACAGCACAGCAGCTTTTCAACCGATCGAGCTCAAACAACAGAACCGTGTTTGAGCATCTCCGATGTCAAACATGCGACTGAAATCAAATCAACTGACTCGCGCTTGGTCAGATAAATACCAGCTGCGCTGAATTTACTGGGGTCTCGTATTGTATTTTACAGCACACAGTTCAGCTGCACATCATAAACAGGCTCGAGCAGCTGCATTGTCCGATGCCCACCTGCTATTGGGTCATTAGCTAGTCAGGCGCCTCAGCTGGATTAGGTAGATGGATCATGAGTCCATGCAATTGTGTTATCTGTTTGTTTGTTTATTTGTTCTATCGTTGTCTAACATGGAAATGCCGCAATACCCAATCAAAAGGTAATTATGGGAAGCCCCAAAACGATATGAATGACAACACACTGAATATAGGTACAACACACTGATCGAATTATATTTGGCTTCTCTAATGAGAAGCCTCAATAACCTCGTGCATTGTTTATTATCTCGGTGTGTCAATAAAAAAGATACAGACAAAAATCTGGCAATATGTGTTCTGGCACTGCGATATTGTCCAGATGACTTACGTAAAGGGTTCTTTCTGCATACATCGAATCATGACATCGTTGACAGACTGTTTCGTTGATTGAAGCCTTCTCTCGTTGCAGGTGCACCCACTGTCATTCGCGTCAACATGGTCATCAAATCGCTGGGACCGATATCAGAAAAGGACGAGGTACCGTGAGTTGTTTTATATGGTCTCGCTGTATTCCAGGAGAGCGTAGTTCATAGTAAATAAATTATCTCTATTCTCAATTTTCAATCAACATTCCGATTGTTTGTAAGAAAAGAAGTATTTGTGATGCCTATAAGAACCCCATTGCCGATCGGGAACATATAATTTGGCTTTTGACAAAGCGTCAGAACTTCCTATTTACCTTGAGCTGGTGCCGTGACCAGATGTGGCTTTGTCTTATTTTAATATCATTTTAAAAACTTTTTTATTTTGACAAGTTTGTCACTATCAACAATGTAGGCTGCCCGGTGTCTGCAGAGTTTTGCGGTGGTCTCATACACCGTGAGAATGCGGTATATGACGACTGAATTTTTTCCGCTACTGACCCTCCTTTACGTATTTCGTCATTTCAGGAATTTATCTTGGATTGCTACTTCCGTCAGATCTGGTTCGACAAGCGTCTTCAGTTCAACAGCACAGACGTCGATATACTGTCGATGAATTGGTTGTTTCTTGAAAAGGTAAAATCAATGTCACGTTTTCTAGTCATTCACTCTTACAATTGGCACTTGGCAGCTAGTAAAAGTACTGCGTCCTTATTAGGTAAATGATAAAGCACGGGACTTCAAACAGAGGGGGAATCTCTGGCCTACCGTTCCCGCTCTTCCGCTGGTGCCAAACATATCCAGCTGACAGGCCATTACGGGAGACAAATAGGTGAAAGACACCATCAAACAGATCGGCAAACAATGTGTTTGGGCACTGTCAGACACCGTCAGATGACTGACCTCACCGGAGCTTGTTCTCATGGTGAATTTGTTATGTAATATGTAGACGTAAATCATATTTTGGTCATGACGTAATTCACTTGCACTGTGGTGCGGTAGAACAAAGACTTGTCAATGACAGTAAACTTCTCGCAGGTCTGGAAGCCGGATACGTTCTTTCTCAACGGAAAGAAATCGTATCTGCATAAAATCACGGTGCCTAATAAATTTCTTCGCATCAAAAAGAACGGTCAGCTGACATATTCAATGAGGTGAGATAAAAAATTAATTTGCGTTATAATCTGCTGAACTGGTTCAGTAATATTTCTGGCATTGCGCAGTCACTTTTGATTCTCAGCTATTTACTTGTATTTCACCAATTATAGAGTGTGAGATAAGTGACAGATAATTACCTACGCAATGACTGTGAGACGTTGACCTCAGTCCTCAACCAATATGGCATAACAGCGTTGGCATTTCAGGCTCACCATCAAGGGGTCATGCCCTATGCATCTTAAGAAGTTTCCGTTGGACAGCCAGTTATGCCCTCTGGAGATTGGATCATGTGAGTAGTTCGGTACTTATCCACTATCCAGCATTTAGCTTTTCATTTATCAAAAACACTCGGTGCTGGTTAACTTTGTCTGTGTTTGTTTCGTTAGGGTAACACGTTTCTAAATCTTGCAAACCCTGCTCTCAGCAAAATAATCTTTAACACATAAATGGCAACATTTGACTTTGAGTGATTAGGAAATATATGTGATGATACCGGGTATTCCCAGGGTATAACAACTGTACAATAAATGTAAAAGCATACAAATCGACGTAGTTAAAGCAAGCCCGAAAGTAGATTGAACTTCTTCTCGCGGTCCATGCTGGCAATGTTGCACGTCCATTGCAGACGGCTACACCACGGGTGACGTCATCTACCGCTGGGATCACGGCGTGCCAGTGTCTATCAAAGGTGACGTCAGTCTGGCACAGTACCTCATCAGAAACATCACACCGTTCGAGAGCACCGAGACCACGCGCAGGGGAGGTGAGGCTCCGCCGCCGCCCGAAACGTGGCGCTGCTGAATTAGGGGGCCGCTGCCGGGCTATTTGTTAAACTGTCACTCTAATTGGCAATCATTCTAGCCGACAGTTACATAGTGACCACCTGGAAAGGTTAACAGACGGACACATTTCCGCCAACGGCCCGCGCTGACGGTTACATATTAGACAATGTAGGCGCTTGACGGCGCTCCATAACCTCTCCAAGCAGAATTCCTCGACGGAAACACTTCTCTCACGGCGTCTAACGAACACGCTTCCTCTTCCAGAGGAGAAATCCACGCTGGTGGTGCACTTCCATCTGGAGCGTCTGACCGGCTACTTCCTGCTTCAAGTGTACATTCCGTGTGTTCTGATCGTCAGCTGCTCCTGGGTCAGCTTCTGGATTACCAAGCGGGACGTGCCCGGTAGAGTCAGTCTAGGTGAGTCCGAGTCGCCCGGTAGAGTCAGTCTAGGTGAGTCCGAGCCGCCCGGTAGAGTCAGTCTCGGTGAGTCGGAAGGACGTGGATCAATCGCTATCAGACTTGACTTATGCAGTTTAAATACACGCCCGTATTCGCGTATGATTACATGACCGACGTACTTACGAAGTTCCAAGCATAATACAGATGAATGCGTTCACAGCATAAGAGCTAACACAATGATAATACATTCTGTACATATATTGATCCTAATCGCCTACGAAATGCACGGCTTTCGTGGATAGCCCGCAGAGCTGCAGTGATATTTGTTCAGAGAGGGCTGATTCGACCGTCCAGTGTTGCTCGACATCAATTTCACCGTCTAGCCTGCTACATGGGTGTGTTTCCTGCCGCGAACTGCAGGTTAATCCTCTCCACCGGCGCAGTCGAGCCGCCGTGTGACCGTCAGTAAAGCCAGACAGGTCTTGTTACGTGCCCCGCCGGGCTCAGCCGCTATAATCAAATCACCGCGCGGCGGACCGGACAGGGAGAGGGTCCGGCGGCCAGCCCACCAGGTGCAGTTTGAGGTGTGCCACCTCCTTCTGACCACTATTGATCCAGGCGCCGTGGACAGGAAACTTTGTGCCACATAATGAGCCCTTCGAGGACTGGGTCAAGTTGTCGGACTCTCCGGCCTCTCGGGGGAACTTTGTGCCGCCTGCCGCGCCACCAGGACGGCGTATGAGCGACCGCAATTCGCAGCAGGGTCGATACTCGTTCGCTGGCCGCCGCTAATGTTCACGATTTATCGAACCATCCCTGGCCTGGCATCGTCACTATCCTTTGCAATAAAGTAAAGTATTTTGGAGTGTATCAACTATTGACTTTACCAACTGAAAATAATGTCTCTGGGCTTACTGGCATTCTTTTTTGCAATGGTCATGATGTTAATGAGGTTTCGGAAGCAAGCAACCTTTTGCCAGAAATCAGTTCCTGTGAAGGCTTGCAGCGCCTGCATAGGTATTTCATTCGATAGTGTTATTTCAACCCGTCCCTGAAGTAATAACGCGAGCACAATGACTGCTGGCCAGACCATGTAAGTCCAAGAATGGCACCTAAGCGTGCTGGTATGTGTGGTATGTGCACTAAACCTTCCTAAACACCGCCTGTTATTCCAGAACAGGATCTGTCCAAGAACCGACACAACTCGCAGTGAAAATGCTGCGACATACACTCGTTACTCAGTAGTACCGCACTGATAGCAGTGTAATCAATTATTTACTGGGCGACGAAATATGGTAAAAGTGGCCGCGTACAGCGAAAACCACTTGGCTGTGTGTGTCAGCTACAACTTTCACACAGCAGCACTTCGTGATTGTTACCGTAAAGTCATGAAAGTAAAATAAGCAAGATAAAACTTACACTTAGAAGTTAGAATCTGTATTTCATGAGCCTGGCAGGCTTTATCATTAACTGCAAACGGACTGGGCGGACCGATAAGTGCATTCCGTTTTTTTTTTAGATTTCTGTGCCTGAGACGTGCTAAAAAGTGCGAATCGTCGACCTGAACTTATTGATAGAATGGTTGAAGCTGGTATGACATGGTATGAAGCTGGTATGACAATTTCTAGCTTCCGATGATTTTAAATGAATGCATTTTTGGAAAATAAGAAGTAAAACTATACGGCCATGTCTATGTATGTCGTGAGGATAGTGTTGATAAACATTTTAGAAAATTTCAAGCCCCTGAAAATGTATAAATGCATAATCAATATAAATAAATCAATTATTTACTAGGCGACGAAATATGGTAAAAGTGGCGGCATCACCCCTATAATATAGTAAAATATGGTATATGGTAAAAGTGGCATAATATGGTAATATGGTAAAAGTGGCATAATCACCCCTGAAAATGAGTGATTATGTATAATGTAGCGCACTCTTTTTCAGGGGCTTGAAACTTTCTAAGCGGACACATTTCGCTATTGTTAAAGCGCTATCACTCCTACGACATAACTGATTGGGCAATGTTTCCGCGTGCGACAAGATTATATATTTGTTGGCAAGTATCAACACCGCTCTAACAGTAACCACACTGATTTTGGCAGGTATCACCACTGCCCTGACTATGACCGATCTGATTTTGACAGGCATCACCACTGTTCTGACGATGACCACACTGGGTTTCGGAAGCCGCAGTAGCTGGCCCCGCGTCAGCTACGCCACCGCTCTGGATTGGTGAGTGCTGCCCCACTGACATAAGAAAATTGCACTCATAGTGCCTAGAGGTGGGTATCGTAATATTAAAGAAAAACATAGCAATATATCGCATTCGTCCGTGTAAACATATTTGTATGTTTAACGCGCATAATGTATATCGCAGTATATTGCAGCACAGACCATATATATTTGAAAATTCTGCTACGCTGTGATCCAAAACAGTAAATGCATACTGCAAGCTCGTTTTTCTACTGTTGATTTATTTTCACACATTTCGGTTGCAGGTGGGTCATCATGTGTTTTGCATTCGTCTTCGCATCTATGGTGGAATTCGCCACCATCAATTTTATAGAGAAACGACTGAAAGATAAAAAGACGAACCTAGAAGAGCTCAAAAGACTCTACACCGAAAGGCATAAGGTATGTATGTCCAGCTTGTTTGAATAGTTCAAGCAATAAATTCGCGGCAATTCTGCCGACAAGAGGCTGCTCACCTGAACCTATAACCATTTCAATCGTCTGGTGAGAGCGTGAGCGCCTAAAGACGCACTGTATTGTCATCTTTGATAAGTACCAGGGCAAGGCGTCAAATATTATAGTACATCATGCGGCTTGTGTCACTGACTCAATCTTTCGGTCTGACACATTCTGTCAATGTGTCCGCCTGCCATCATGGCTTACATAGACCGCACTTGTCACCGGATCTAATGGAGCTCCCGCCTGTCATCGTCCACTGCTACTATCGCCGCGGGCCAGGCCCTCCGCCCCATCCGCGGACCAGACCCCCACACAGCAGGTCATTCGCTCAGTCCGAACATTTATATGTCAGTCGCCACAGGCCAGCTCGGCCTGGAACGATTCAAATCAATGTCACTGGAACAGATGCGGTGATCCGTCTTCCCAATTGAAATGAGGACACTTAAAATGTCACTCTGTGGCCATCGACAGCCTCTCTCTCTCTCTCTCTCTCTCTCTCTCTCTCTCTCTCTCTCTCTCTCTCTCTCTCTCTCTCTCTCTCTCTCTCTCTCTCTCTCTCTCTCTCTCTCTCCTCTCTCTCTCTCTCTCTCTCTCTCTCTCTCTCTCTCTCTCTCTCTCTCTCTCTCTCTCTCTCTCTCTCTCTCTCTCTCTCTCTCTCTCTCTCTCTCTCTCTCTCTCTCTCTCTCTCTCTCTCTCTCTCTCTCTCTCTCTCTCTCTCTCTCTCTCTCTCTCTCTCTCTCTCTCTCTCTCTCTCTCTCTCTCTCTCTCTCTCTCTCTCTCTCTCTCTCTCTCTCTCTCTCTCTCTCTCTCTCTCTCTCTCTCTCTCTCTCTCTCTCTCTCTCTCTCTCTCTCTCTCTCTCTCTCTCTCTCTCTCTCTCTCTCTCTCTCTCTCTCTCTCTCTCTCTCTCTCTCTCTCTCTCTCTCTCTCTCTCTCTCTCTCCCCCCCCTCGCGTAGCGTTGCAGGTTTATGTGCGACTCCCTCCCCCCCGGCCGGTGCGTCCCACAGCCGTCCAGGGACGCACGGCGCGTGCTATGCTCCTCAGAGTAGGACCCGTGGGGCGGAACACCACTGCGACACGCAGAGTGCCTGGCACGTGCTGCGTCCCACCGGTCAATCACGACGGAACATTGACGGCGGCGTCACGCGCCGCACGGAGACGGACTGGGGCTAACGGAGACACATGGGGACGTGGAGAGACGCAAAAAAAAACGCGGGAGACGCTCCGAGAGACGGAATGGTATTAAAGGAGAAGACCAAGAAGGAAACGGAAGGAGACATGCGGAGACAGAATCAGAGACTATAGCAAGGAAGCTGCCAGAAACATGGACAAAATATTGTCAGGGACGGACGTAAATGGAAGTAGACGTGGCACTGGGCGGAAATGAACATAATTTAAAGCCGATATAATGACAGACTTGACATCTCGAATCATTATCGCCACCAATCCAGTATTGATTCGTGCCGACCCATCTGTCTAGCTTTGTTGTGATTGACATAGCATGAAATATTTATCCAAACAACTTGCTATAATGACAGCAGAGGCGACAGGAGGGGGCGTCCCCTGTCGATCGGCACTCCGATAGTTAACGGACACACCTGGCCGCGCAAACAATGAGAAATATGTCAGCCCTCGGCGCGAGGAGAAGTCAGGACTCAGAACGATGTGTTTCGAACCACCTGGGCACGTCATTACACTGCGGGTATGGAGTTGTTCAAGAAAAGGACCTGCACTTCGTTTGTGATAGTGGTGACACAGTTTTTCAGTTGCCGTGCTACCGTGCCTGCCTGGCATACGGTCGAGGCCTATTTCTCGGCGTTAATTTCTTCGAACGATGATTTCTGTGCACGTAAATCGTCCTGATCGTTGATTTATCTAAGCGCTGATTTTCTGACCGTTTAATCCCTGTGACCACTACTTCTCCAGTCGCTGGCAACAGTCGGCGCCAGGCAGCGGCCGACGCCATCCAAACGTTCCCTGAGCGGCTCGGCCGTCAGCCGACACATTTTGACGGTCATTAATTGCCGCGGCCGCGCCAAGAAGAACCACTCGGCTGTTCATTTCCGTTCCGCCGAGGTGCCGGCGGTCGCCGAGGCCTACAAGTGATGTCATAAACGTCATAAGTGACGTCATAAGAGACATCACGAGTGGGGTCATGAGAGACATCTGACAGTGACGTTACGAGTGGGGTCAGTTGAACCGTTGCGGCGCCGTAATTATCACAATTTGGCTTGGAGGGCCGAGGGGGCCGAAAGAGACACCGCAAGATCAAGGGCCCTGGCGGACACTTGGTCGCCGTAGAAACACAGAGATGAGTCATAAATCGGCCGGGATGGGCCATATCGAGACTCGATTGGAACAGACCGACGACAGCAGCGGAATGAGCGCCGGTTATATAGGGCGGTAGATACCGGACTGCTGCAGTCTTCCATTCTCCTCTCCTCTTCTCTGCTTCCCTCTTCTATCCCCTCCTATACTTTCCTCTTCTCTCCCCTCCTATCCTTTCCTCTCCTGCTCCTCTCCTTTTCTCTCCTCTCCCTCCTATCCTTTCCAGTCTCCTGCTTTTCTCGTCTCTTCTCCTTTCCGGCGCGGTTGGTGGGAGCAAGCTCATTGTAAACTGAATGGTATTGGTGGCGACGACCCGTTGAATAGTCCCTAAATCCCGCTTAGGACTCATATTGATGCAGGTGAAAACACAAATACGATTAAAAAGTTGGACACAGTAAGCCATTAAAGTCGTTTTCCAAACATATCTTTACTTTCATTTCGGAAATTCGTAAAGCATTAATAATCAAATGAATCAAAAGTCAAAACATAACAGTCACTCCCTATCTTCAGAGATGATACAAAAACCGCGCAAAAAAAAAAACTGACAACTCTGGCCTGTCGCGACTGACGGGCCGCACTTTGCGCCTTTAGTCCCGCTCCCCGCCCCCTCGCCGCTGAAGCGGCCGGTCGCAGCTGTGACTAGTGAGCTCAGGGTGTCATCAGGCCGACAATGGCCGAGAGGCTGAGGCTCTACCGAGATAAACTTGCCCAGAAAATGACACCCAGCTGGGCGATTTGGCGCTGAAGGGTGCTTAAGCGGTAGCGGGCGAGCCAGAGCAGAGTTTTGATAGTTTATAAGTTGGTCTGATGGCAGCGCTGAAACAATGTTTTGCCGCTGATAACTCGGCTGAAGTACGATTTTGTCGTGTGATATATGCGTGTTTACGTGTGGTACTCTCTGCGTGCGTGTTACTTGCACACGATTTCAGTAACATATTGCGTACTTGGTGACTGGAAACATCTTTAAAGAATGACATGCATATTGCATATGGAGAGGTGACAGTGATTAATTGCACTTCTTTTCTACATACAGGCTGCACCCATGCCATACTGTCGCTTGCCTTCCGTCCTGCTTCGCTCAACCACGCCCTGCTACGCTCTCCGACGTTCATCGTCGTCCCTCTAAGGACACTGTGACCGTCCTTACGACCCGTCCCTTTAGCTATCCCCCTAGGCCTAACCCGTCCCCTAATGGTGGGTACGCTGGGCCGGGACTGCTCCGTCGCTGTACAGCCGGCCCCTCTGACCCATCCCCCCCTCTGGCAGAGGATGGTGGGTATGCTGGGCCGGGACGGCTCGGTGGCCGTACACCCTCTGACCCCTCCCCCTCCCTGGCAGAGGATGGTCGGTATGCTGGGCCGGGACGGCTCGGTGGCTGTATGTACAGTCGGCCCCCTCTGACCCATCCCCCTCTGGCAGAGGATGGTCGGTATGCTGGGCCGGGACGGCTCGGTGGCCGTACAGTCGGCTCCCTCCACCCCAGCCACCCAGGAGGACGAGGATATGGCGGCTGCCCAGATGGAGTTCTCAGAGTTCGCCGGCACCGCGCCGCAGCCACAACAGGAGCCGCCCGGCGCCGGGTCACTCATGCCGACGCTGTTTGGGAAGAAGAAATCCAAGTCGAGTTTCGAGTACGTGATGAACAAGCTGGAGCGGCTGACGGAGAAGGATCTGCAGGATCGTTTCTCAGTGGTGGATATCTACGCGCGGATGGTGTTCCCTTTACTGTTTGGGGCGCTGAATGCGGTCTATTGGGTGCTCTACCTGTACTACATCACTGATGAACTGGAGACGGATACTTTCCGCCTCAAGGCACCAGCGGACGCCGCTGCCTACCAGCCCGCCTCCTGAGAGAGTCGAACTGTCTCCTGAGCGTGCCCCGTCTCCTAGTATCCTGGAAGCGTATTGTATCTGAGAACGTCTGAAGTCCTGACTGAGGGCGCCTGACATCCATGACAACCTCCAGGCCTATGAGACACCTGGTTTCCTAAAAGCATTTGACTAAACTAGCAGGCCTCATAGTGATTCTGGACCTTCGGGATAGCTTGCTAGATTCACGACTCACGCACACAGCTAGTCTCTGGAGTTACGTGCATACCGGTCGGATTACTGAGACTACGCTTAACATGGGAAAATGGGATGGCACTGCTGGCTAACTGCTTTCACCATTTGTAGGTTTAGGCCAGTATACTAGACATAGTCGTACGAGGGACGTCCAAGCTCAACTATTTTTACTGAATTGTGTATCCCTGTAGGTTTTAGTAGGCGTGGCACACAGTGACTTGGATAGATCTGAACAGGTCTAGCTCTGCTGTGAATACGGCCGGCCATCGGACCCGATTGGTACACGTATGACGAAACTGATAGCGACAGTGTGTTGGGCGGCTTTCACTGTGGAAACCGTCGTCGGCTGTGGAATAAATCGGACGCTAGTCACTTACATTTATTCTAAGCGGTGACCCAACCGAGTGGGAGCCACGGGAACGCTGACACAATCAATGTGTGTGAGTGTGATGAGATGTGTCGTGGGCGGTGGTTGCGTTGGTAGGTGTGAGGATGTGGATGTGACCACAACCTCGGTGGATGTGAGGTTGTGATAGGGAAGTTTAATATCCACCAGTACAATGCTCACTGAATAGCTCTGCCGCTGTCAACAGCATATGTCGCTGATCTAAAAATGTTCTCTTTTGCGCGACCGTTTATTCGTGGCGACTGGCGATGGCTGTTTTGTTGTGCTGTGTATGACGATGTCTGTTCTGATTGTCGTCCGCTTTTTTCACTGGACCTGAAAGAGCCAACACGATTCCATTTGTCGGCTTTCGATGTTTGGTCTGTCCTTTGAATCTGCGTATCAAAGCCTTTTCATCTGGCGTGTGCCGAAAACTAATCCATTTCTGTAATGGAAGTGTCCAATGTTTCGAAAGGCGCTGACATTTTATTTCGAAGTTATGTCCTTGTTTTTAGCTGCTATCTAGTGATTCGACAACATTGTAGGTCGACCACAGAAGTTTGTTCATTTTCATTATTAAAAGGGCTGATCCGCAATCGTTCATGCTCATTATTGAGATTATGTAACTGCCTCTACATTTAGCAACTATACCTACATATCTAAAATAATTTTCCCCTCTTCAATCTAACGCGTAGGTATAGGTATAGTGCATTTCGAATTGCCTCTCTCGATGCTTCTTTGGCATTGCCAATCTAGACCATGAGAGTGCTAAGCTTACCACTATATCTAAACGTTTTAGTACCTATTTATGCCTCTAATGAATCAAGAGTTCATTGTACACTTAGCAGGAGTGTATTTATTCAACTGTTGTGTAATTATGCATATATCTAAGCCGTGTATGAGAGCTGTTTAATTGATGGTTAATGCTCACGCTCATAAATGCGGCAAATAAATTACACAAGTTCTCAAGCCGGGTATAAACCGTTGTGTACATATGCTTTCATGTGAAACAGTTTGCATTGTCGGATTCGTATCAAAATATAATGGCTCGCTGTTGCAGGAGTGTACATATTTAATGTCCGATAGGCACTGTTGCAGTCTTCGTACGTGAACGGTTAGTATTTTGGGATCTATTTTATTTAAGACCACCCGACGAAATGGATCTCTTCGTCAGTTACTAGTCCATCCGCTAGTCTATTACTTGGTTACCACTCGGCCCCTCATAGTAATACATTTCATCGGATGAGCGCTGGGATTTCAGCGCTGAGCCGTGTGACATCATCTTGGCCCGGTCCTCCCGTCTGCGAGTGGCTTCTGCTGTCCACGCGCCGGCCGTGGGTCGGAGCGGAGGCCCCGCGGGTGAGCCGGCACCAATGACCCGTCACACCATCACCATTCATCACCACTCCGGCCCACGACACGGCCAAAAGTTCGACGCCAAAGTGCTTCAGGTCGCCAAGGCAAATGGCGCCGTCACTCCCTAGTAACTCGAACACTTGCGAGGCTTCACGGCCAGTCAGTAATATCCTCGAGATCCGGAGGGGGTATCACTTGAGTGGAGTATTTCTGTGATATATCAAACGTTTATGGTACAAGTGCCCTTCATGCCGACAAAAGCCGCTTTAGGTTCAACGATCGATCACCGCTCTGACGTGTTCGTACAATAGCTCTCAGCGCTCGACACATACCTAAACGGACGAGCAGTCTTAGGAAGGGCCTCCTCGGCGCCGAACACCTCGGCAAGACTCAGTATAGGAGAGGAGCGCCTCATGGTTCACACAGCTCAAACGGACGAGCTGACCGACTCAGCAACCTAATCCGTTCGGCTCGCTGCTCAATTACTCTGGCACGAGTCGATAGTTTTACATTTGACTCGGGTGACTCAGACTACTAACTATAGAAAAACTGTTAATCCCGACTCTAGTTACAATTCGACTACGGACTACAGGCTCATGACTCTCCGCCTGTTGCAACTATCAGCCTTTCCACGACCGTGGGAGCCCCAGCACTCGGCCGACTGTGAGCCGAACTGGCCGCTCGCCCCTCTGCTGCCCAGTGCCCGGGTGTGCGCCGGTAATGAATAATGAACGTTCCACCGGCGGACCGCCGCGCTGATGTGGCTCGACACGACACGACCTCGCCCGGTCGGAGACACGGCCGGACGGGGCAGAGCGAGCGGCAGGAGAGGCCGGACACGGGGCTGGATACCGCGCCGGGCACGCGCAGAATAGGAATGTAGAGTTTTGTCACCGAGGCTGGTGTGAAAGTAACTGCTCGCGACGGTACTCGCATAACTGATGGGCTGCTTGGTAGTTTCTGGACGTGCCGCACGGAAACTCGTGAGCACATGGAGACGGTAAAGAGTATTCCTGGCACTGCTTGGCACGGACGTGGCAGATAACGTGTTGGAGGTCGGAACGAAACACTGATGACAGGATTTGAGCAAAGTTCATGGGAAACGAAACTGAGACGTCCACGTCGCGTTCCACAAAACTCCAAAGCCGGAGCGAAGACGGTGAGAAACGAGCCTTTTTGCTGAGAGGTTCTCTCTGGAACGCCTCGAAAAGCACATGCAACACAAAAATGTGAAATGTTTTAAGCAACCACAGAATACCTTCCGCCAAGTGTCAGACATCCATTAGAGTTCCTCGAGCTCGCCAGCTGCGCTGCCGCGGCGGCGCTGCGGCGGTGCAGCTGACGGCACGTGCCAGCCGCAGCAGCCCGGCTTCGTTTCGGCTCAGTTTCGGCGCCGCCCACCTATTGAGATTGATGAGCGGCCGGTGCGCGAGGGCCGCGGCCAGTAGCAGCGTGCCGTCCGGCCGGCCATGAGCCATCGATCCTACCACGGCGCTCGTCAAAACGGCCGGGCCTACCAGCCGGCGCGGCGGCCGCACCTTTGTGCGACGGTGGCGCGCCGCGCCGTTACCGCCGCCTTTTAGTGCGCCGCGCGCCGCCGCGCCGCAGGCTAACGGCTCAACTACGGCTGCTACCTGGCGGCAATCACAGACTGAGCGGGGCCGGGTGGTCGCCGGACACGGAGGGACCGGCGCCGGCCGATACCGGTACAGGTGACACCGACGCCGCCTGATACCGGGTACAGGTGACACCGACACCGCCTGATACCGGGTACAGGTGACACCGACACCGGCCGATACCGGCACAGGTGACACCGACACTGCCTGATACCGGGTACAGGTGACACCGACACCGGCTGATACCGGGTACGGGTGATACTGACACCGGCCGATACCGGGTACCGGGTGACACCGACACCGGCTCATACCGGGTACCTACGGGTGATACTGACACCGGCTGATACCGGTTACAGGTGATACTGACGCCGCCTGATACCGGGTACGGGTGATACCGACACCGGCTGATACCGGGTACGGGTGACACCGATACCGGCCGATACCGGTACGGGTGAATACGATACCGGCCGATACCGGGTACAGGTGACACCGACACCGGCTGATACCGATGATACTGGTGTTTTGCAGAACTGTAGAGGGCCACATGATACACCGGATGATACCGGTACAGGTGACACTGGTCACTGGGACAAGGGACACTGACATTGTGACTGGTTGACACCGGTACAGGTGACACTAAAAACACGGCAGGTGACACTGACAGTGCTCCAACTGTCTCTGTCAGTGACACCCAACAATACCGGCAGGGGTGACATCTTAGGCCAGCTGATACCCCCCAGGTAGTTGATAATGATACCGACTGGCACCCAGCCCTACTGACATATGTCAGCTGAGTGCTGACGCCGGTTTAACTCGCCACTGACATTTACACTTAACAGTGCCCGTTTCCAACTCTGGTCATTACCCCAGCGCAGTAATTGCAGGCATTAAAACAGTGAGCAGTTTCGGTGGTGTAACCTTGTCCATGTGATGGCGCAGATTACTATCTGTATCGATTCTACGAAGCTGCCTTGTAAATCAAGATATAGTTGACTTTTAACTGCATACAAGTCGGCTCTATACCGTTTTTACTGTGCTAAGTCGGTTTTATTCGGTTTAAGTCCAAGAAATGGGGCCTAATTCAATTGGCTGGAAATTTGTTGCTTTAGTTTAATGGCAAAAAATGATCTGCTTTTCTTATTTTCAACCTACCTTACGTGAATCAGAGAGAATTCACAACATTTCATGCCAATCAATTGAAGGCACCAATCACCTTCCTATATTTCGTGACAAGGTCACATTGCCAGAGGCGATGAAAAAGCGACAGTGCTACATCGAGCCCTCGAAACACATACTCCGCAACATTCAGCGGCCTCGTGTGTCCCCCTGACCACTCAAAGTGACAGCTCACGGACTAAGTCAATACTAATCCCATCCACAACACCGAGAAAAGGGCACCATTCCTCTGTCGCGTCCTGGAACTTTTCATAACGCCGCGGGCTTTCTGGCGTGTCAGCGCGGCATGTGGCCCTCATGTCACACGCCACATGGAACCGGCCGAAATATCGCTCACATTACGTCTGAATATGATCTGTAGGGGCGCGTCCGCTGCTCACGCACACACGGACTTTTGAGCCGGTGATTTACAGGTGAGGCCTACCTGACGACGACACCACCGCTGGAAACTGGTGGAAAAGTTGTCCCCTGGCCGGCGGTATGTAATTAAAGAAGTCGCACGTCAACTGTAAGTGGGTACCTCACTCGGCGCTGTTTTATCAATAAAGACTGATGAAAATGGGAGTTCACGGCAGTAGGAAGGTCAAACGTCAAGCGGCTGTGTAATCACGGAACAACTCCGAACAAAAATAACCCGTTCAATTTTCAGGTAAATAACTATTGCAACTTGCAAGTATAGGTGCTCAGCAGTGAGCGTTAATCGGAATTTATAATTAAATCTTGCGTCATCAATCACACTCTGAAGTTTCAACGACAGCAGTGGTAGACGGCTGCCTGCATCTTGCCTGCATTCGTTATGATCCGTCTTTTACGTCCATTTAATTCAGTTCATCAATCCAGGTGGTGCCCTTTTGGCCTTTTGCAGGAAAAGAAATGGCCCGTTCCGTGGCGGTAGCTGTTTACGAGCTTTACACAGACACGGACATTACACCCAGGGTATATAGATTACACCATGGGTATCCCGGTAGCCGATATCATTCGTGAGTCACAATGAAACATGCAATTTTGCAGTAGCGTAAAATATTGTTACATGTAGGCACGTGTGTTGTGTGTGATATGTTGCGACAAATGAAGTGAATACGTGATTGAACTCGGAATGATTTTGCAATAAATATGCTGATAAGGGAATGACACATCTGCGCAGAAAAAAATATCAAGCGCAGTATTGTCCTACTTTACACAAAAGGAATAGGATCCATCTCAAAGACATTGCTCATCGCTGTGATTGGGTTCCGTACCCATCAGACTGTAAGTAAACGTATGCATGCCTCATTTTCAGAGCCTGCACCCTGGCTTTCGACTTGCGTTACGCAAAAAACAACACTTCATTTAAAGGGTCGTCATATTCAGCACAATTTAGATTCAATGTGCGCACAAATAAAGCACACATTTCTGAACAGCGACACCTAAATGTACGTCATATTCGCCTTAACGGCTGATTCGTGATTGATGGCGACAGTCTAATTAATTTCCCAGACTGATTCTGCTTCGTAATTCATCAAACCGAAGACGACTGGCAAAGTAGCACGTCAGTTAATCCCACATCAGTCCTGCACAATCGCGACGCAAAATGATCAATGCAAAATGATTGATAAAAGGTCACAGGTCACAGGGTCATCAACTACGTCAGTCAGGTAGGCGGGCGAAATCATGTGCACCAGCTAAACGGCTGTGTCATTATAATTCCCTTACATGTCATGAATGCATACGTAAGAAAACGTTAGCCTTTATAGACGCGAAATACTAGAGGAAGTAAGCTTCAGTAGGTACACTGGACAGTAGTCGAATATACACCGGAAATATCTCTGCATTTTATTCCTTCGTTTTGCACAGTTCGAAATGTCATCTTGCCATTTTACAATGACATGCCATTGCTAATTGACAAGGCAATACCCGATGAATCGTTCAGTTTGCAATTGATCGCTAGACGCTCCCTACTGCTACAGTTCGAACACGGCACTACGATTCCTCGGTACCACTATCCATGTCTGAAAACCATTAAAGCGTCGAGTAATCAGCCCCAGATCATTGAGGAGAGTTATTGCCGGCACCGAAACTGCTACCACATTCCTGTGCATGACACAGTATATTTCCGGCATGCAGGTTCAATTAGTAAGAGCGAATTCTCCACCGGTTAGTACGTGGCTTCCTGGCTATTGATTTTGTTGGTTGATTGTTACTAAAATGCTTCGCTCATTTCGTAAAATCCGTCTGGTCTGGGTAGACTGCACCGCCGAACACCCGAGCTCGGCGGGACAGTCTACCTCCCAGGCCGGCGAACGGGCGGCCGCTCGTGGCCGGTGAATTCGGGATTATGACGGATGACGGGCGACCGTTAACGTCAATATCCTGAGGGTTTCAACTTCCACTTATCCAAAAATCGATTTCCACCGTATGAGGCGGAATATAATCGCAGCGGAAATCAGGTCACCGATCGTCCCGTCCCATTGACTCAATAGCCGGAGTGACACTGAACCACTCTCAATTTCAAATCAGCTACTTTTGTTCTGTGTCGGCACTATAACAGTCACAATTGATCACACAGGTATGTATTATCCCACACAGGGGCGACTAGCATCGGTTGAGTACACGCAGGGACACAGCTCACCAATAAACACGGAAGACGTTTTTCATGTCTGCACACCGCCGCACTGTCTCAGGTGGCCCGGCCAGGCCGCTCTGAGAAAACGTTACCGTTGCTACCCGATTTAACGCATGAAAAACTGCTACACATAAATAGCAGCGATAAGAGAGAAAAACCGCAAAAATATCGAAAGATCAATGTCGCTAATCACTCGTATGACTAGAAAACATGACTGTGTGTGGCCGCAAAACCAGGACACCGAGATTCTATTACACAAAATACAATAACGATGTAGTTCTGTTCAGCCATATCAGCATCAACCGGATGAGTTCTGATTTTTAGCAGGTGTATGTCACCTATAGCAAACGAGTTAGGTTCAAGCATATCACATCAAACATGTTATGAGAACACATTTCATAAAAACGCCTCAGGTGACTAATAACTGAAATAAAGAACAAACGACTATGATACTGAGAACACAGAAATTGTGTCACTGCCACCAGAACCATTATTAGTTTCCATTGCGACTGGCTACCCAGTACCCAGTACACACGTCGGCCCGTAGCCCACATATGCAGAAATCTACCGACGTCCAGCGACAAAGAAGACCAATAATTCTATTACCGGTCCGCGTGACGGCAAACACGCGACACGGGATAACACATGGAAGGCTGCGGGGCGCAGCGCGAGATACTGGGGGATACAACAGAGCAGATGTGACCATGTGCTAGCCTGTCACCTTAATGTTGCTGGTGTAACCATATCTAGAGCAGGGGCCAGGGACAGTTGGGCCTGTATATGTATGTAAGTACGTACGCAGGGCCAATAGTCGGCTGAGTATTATCTACCGCAGTTTGGAAGGATACATCACGATTGACAGAGAACACATCAGTGTTCTGAGGTCGGGTATACGACTGGTGCTCTACTGTTATGGGTCTGATTAACGCCAATAAGCGGACAAATACGAACAACAGAGGCAAGCTCGTAAATGGTTTAGTTCCGGGACTAAATCACTGAACACGCCAACACGACTCATCACTCGATCATACACTACACTCGAATTAACGCCACGATCCTACCGCATTTACTGAGACAATTAACTGTAAATCGATGTGTCTCTTCCTTCATTGACTAGAAGTTAGTACAAGCCACTGACTAGTTCTAAGCTCTTACAACAGGGCACAAACAACATCGAATCACAAGTAGGGTAGTGCGTCGACGAGTAGCAAGCGCGACCCCGGCTATCGGGAGCGCAGCTATAAGTGCCAACATGGGGAGGGTAGGGACTCACGAGCGATACAAGAGTGCTAGGAAGATCACGACATCTGACAAGGTTAGCATGAGGCTAACTGGGAGCTACAAAAGGATATAAGTCTGAATGGATGCCAGCCCAGCCAGCAGACGGCCGTCTACACATACACGGAGACGCAGTAGGCCGATAGACTCGGGAAAGAGTTACCAGTGTGCGTCAGCAGCCTGGTCGCACGACCATCAACGGATACGAGTTGAGAGGCAATAGACGCATGAGGTCGCTGACACTGCCACTTTGACCCTGTATTGATGTGCATCACTGCCATGGCTAGGGGACAAGGACGCTAACAAGTCCTTCAGTCTGTCATTGCAAGGACAATACATCCATTTTTGAGTCAAGAGTTGTGAACTGAGCGCCAGTTCTATCGAATTACAATCGTACGGGTCAAATTTTGAGCATTATCTGTTCTCTGAGCGTTTGCTCAGGGATCGGAAAAGCTGTAGACGTGCACAAAAACAATGTGACAGACAATCCGACCTTCCACGTTACTTTTTGGCATCTTTCTTCAAAGTCGAAAAAGATCAGTCAAGGTTATTGATAAGCTCGCAGTCTGGCTGTAGTAGCGCAGTATTCATTAACCTATTCATAGCGTACATCGCTATAACTATTGTGAGAAGTTAATTTACTCCCCATTATCTTCGAGCAGAGCCCTACAAAGCTGGCTCGTGCTCCTACGCCACTCCAGGCCCGGCCCTCCACCTTTGATCTTTTGTTCAAACTGCTGCCTGATGTCGGAGCCACTACAAAGCATTGAAACTTTTCCAGATGATTATAAACAAGGTCGTCCTTGACACAAAATCCAAAGGCATAGCTGCGCACTCAGTTATAAGCATCGTTGGAAGAGGATATGTGTGTGAACATTTGAGACATAGCGATGTTTTTAGCAGCCTCGTCTCATTTTAGGCAAGGATTCGATGTCAAGGAATGACTAAGGTACTAAACCCTTAGCCTAGTCTTTCGAAAAACCTTCATCTGAGTCGGTTTCGGTGACAACGGACCACGAACCCATGTAGCTTGATCGCTCGACTGCGCCCACCAGCCACTCACACTACATCTTTCACTGGGCTCCCCGCGGTGGGTCAGTCCGAATCGGACGCCCACCTGACGTTCTGACGTGGCGGCGTGCGCTGACGTGACGTGGCGACGTGACATGGACACGTCCTTTGTCTGAGTTGGGCGGGGTTGGTCTCAGATCAGCCACACGGCCGGCTGGTCTGAATCCTCCCCCGCCACCGAATCTCAGGAGCGGCGGCTGCGGACGAAAGAAGAGTAAGTGTTACCGAGCGTTACATGGTACGCCTTACAAGGGCGCACCACACACCAGAATCGATCAGGAGGGAGGACGAACCGTGACGCCAGAACATGATAATTCAGCTGCATTAAGATTTACGGTAACAATACAGCCCAGCATAATCGGGTGTAGTAGCCAACCCCACAACCACCCAGTGTGAAACAAAGTGAAAACACTGAAATTCGTTTCGATGATGATACGTATGACTGGAGCAGGAATGTCTGGTACCTGAGACTGCGGTAGGGCGGCGCGGTAGGGCGGAGCGGCGGTACCCACCTAAGACTGCGGTACCCACCTCAGACTGTGGTAGGGCGGTGCGGTAGGGCGGCGCGGTAGGGCGGCGGTACCCACCTGAGACTACGGAAGGGCGGCGGTACCCACCTCAGACTGTGGTAGGGCGGTGCGGTAGGGCGGTGCGGTAGGGCGGTGCGGTAGGGCGGAGCGGTAGGGCGGTAGTACCCACCTGAGACTGCGGTAGGGCGGCGGTACCCACCTCAGACTGTGATAGGGCGGTGCGGTAGGGCGGAGCGGTGGGGCGGTAGTACCCACCTGAGACTGCAGTAGAGCGGCGGTAGATACCCACCTGAGACTGCGGTAGGGCGGCGGCTGTCGCTGCGCGTGCCGCTCACTGTCCGGTGTAGCCGGTACACTGTCCGCCCCCCCCCTCCCCGCGGTACGTACCTCAGACTGCGGTAGGGCGGCGGCTGTCGCTGCGCGTGCCGCTCGCTGTCCGGTGTAGCCGGCACACTGTCCTCCGGAGACAGCGGCTCCCTGTACGGAGTCAGGCGCGGGGACACGTCCCTCAGCAGACTGGCCTCGCGGCGCGAGGACGGCTCGTACTCGCTCTGCTCGGCCAGTCGCGGGGAGACGTCTCTCAGTGCGGCGCGGCGCAGCGTGCTCGTCTGGGAGCGCGGCAGAGAGACGCCGCGCGGCAGAGAGCTCGAGCCGCCCGGGTACTGCACCATCTGAATCTCGGCAGGACGGCGTCTGGCGGGGAGAGAGGGGGAGAATTAGGGGAGGCAAGGCCATTGACTGCGGGAATGGCGTTATATTGGGAAGCCGATGTCTCATTGTTGGGAGGAGGGACATCTAACAGACCGCAGTTACCCAAACGGTGATGGTTTTTGAACAGCTTAAAAGTTATCAGCCAGACATCATGAGCCCCCACAGTTATGAATTCGGGTAAAAACAGTTTTATCACGCGAATAGCGGAACCATATGGTGTCGAATGCAGTCAGCCAAGAGGATACAGATTGCCTTTTGCAAGACTGGGAAAACTTGGCCACATTATTTCTAGATACTCATTAGTAGTTTGTTAGGTGTTGGTCACTCTGGCATTATTCAGTTGTTATTAAAAAAGCGCAAAAAACACGAACATACAATACAAACAACAGGGTATGTCAGTCTTGCACGCTAAATTGGTTAGTCGGTAAAAATTGCGTGTCAGGAATCCTTGTGATGGCAGCACTGCAAATAACCTAGAGGTCAGCACACACCACGCCACACAGCATTAGCAGACTCCAGACTCCACAGCAATCACCAGTTTCGCTCTGACACGCTGTTATGAACACACACGGGGCCGGGGGACTGGCCGTCTCACCTCACAAACACCGAGAACACGTTATCGAAAAACTCGCCGTCACTATCCGTCTCACTGAAATCGGGTCAACGGTTAGGATTTCAATGGCGTTCGGTCACAGGAAATACGCGGATTTAAACGGGCAATACCTCTCACATTATTGGCACAGAGAGCAGAGACAACCTTTCAGTGTGGTGTGAACCTGCTGCATTCTACGCTCTAGTCACGCCATGTACGCCCACATCTGACGCCCACATCTGACCCTTTCCCAAGCCTTATTTGGCTCCCCTAATCCCTATCAACTACACCTCGATGGACCCTAATACAGACCCCGACCAGTGCCCTTCCCCTCCCTCCCCTCTCTCCCTCCCGCTCGACTCACAGGTGCTCTCCCTGGCAGCACATGATGCACGTCAGTGTGGCACAGAGAAGCAGCGCCACCAGCAGCGGGATGCCGATGGTGGTCAGAAAGTCGGACACGTAGCTGCGCGCCGGCACCGCCACGCGCGCCGGCAGAGGCAGCACGTCGGCCAGGGAGGGCGGGGGAGGCGGCGGCGCGGCGGTCGGGGCCGGCTCGTCCACCAGCAGAGCCAGCTCGCCGCTCTCAAACTGAGGAGGAGGGAAAGGAAGGGGGCGGTGACAAAGATGCAGACAGAGTTTGTGGAATAGATGCGGCGTTAGAGCGGTAGTAGCTTCCTGGGTAGGAAGAAACTAATGCAACGTACGTTTACACCATCTGACGGGAAAGCTAATTCTTCGATCGATGCCTGGTTCAAGACCGGGTCAATAAATGTTATTTTGGTGAAGAAAAATCAAAATATCTGTCCATATCCTTCGGTTAAAACCACCTGTCCACGGAGGAGAGAAATTGGGCATAGGGCTCAAATAGGCATATCACACAGCCCCCTAGCGCACTTACCAACTTAAACTGGCACCAGTCCATCTTAAAATCCCGCTCGCGGAAGTGCCTCTCAAACTTGCTGCGTTTGAAATTTCTGGGGCAGGGCACGCGTGCCCAGAGCGGGCGCACCTCCTGCTGCAGGAACCGCAGCTGGGGTGAGAAGGGCGCGCCGCTGGCCAGTCGCAGCAGTGTACCCAGGTGGGCGCCCGGCCGGGGAGCCACCGGGCCCGGGTCAGCCACCGACAGCCAGGTCAGACGCACGTCGGCACCGGCCGCCGGCCACAGCACCTGAAGGTCAGGGAGGTCAGGTCACAGACAGCTAGAGCCGTAATCCGTAATCCGTAATCGCCACGCCATATGTGGAAGGCTTTTGATGTCAATACATACTATACATACACAGTACACACATACATAGAGCCCACTGGTCAGGGCGGGTCAGGTCAAATCAGGACTCAGATCTGAGATCAGACCAAGACGTCATATCGGATAGCATCATCTCATGGGGCGCACGTTTGCAACTATGTATGCAAGCGACTGTTCGTATCCTACCTGTTGAAATATCTCCTGTAGTTTCTCAATGTTGGATGCGTTTCTCGGTTGTTTGCGGCTCGAGGATCCGCCGCTCGAGTCGAACAGCAGGTCCACCGGGTCCATGTTGTTGATTTTCAGCTGCACCTCGTGACGCAGCGACTCTGGGGACCACCAGTCGCCAGAACGTGGTCACTCTCAGCGGTCAGTACACGCAGATACTGACGGCAGCTACCAGGAATTCACGAACTGAAAATAATTACTGCTTCATCGAGCATAAAGACTATATTGACGACCAGACAGCGAAAGAAAGCGTAGGAAACAGTTCAAACATACCAGTGTACAGCGCAGTATTCTGAGCATCCCTGTGTAGTGAGAAACCTTACGATTTTGAGCATCATTTAGTGACCTCGGTCCCCGAGTAGCGTGAGTGTCCCTCCGAGTCCCACCATTCACCCTGTGCCCGTGCCGACCCCGTGGCGCCACGTACCGGCGCTGTCTGACACCAGCACGTGCACCTCCCGCCGCGAGGTCTGGTACGTGCGGAGATTGGTCACGATAATCTCCAACTGAAACGGAGACAGACGGCTGTGAATGTAATGCAATCGGTGGTAATAACATAACACGTGATGATGATGATGAATTGGGGTTTTTGGGCGCCCGGACTACAGTGGTCATCGGCGCTCCTCGATAACATAACACGTGGCATCGGTTTTTAAGTTAGCTGATGTTAACCAAGAACGAAGGATAAGGTGCTACAGAGCGAGCAATAGATTAATCTCAATCCACCATCCCAGTTACAGAACGACCGCCGGACGGGTCACGGGGTCACTGACCCTGAACTCGTCCAGGTGCGGGGGCGGCACTCCGTACACCACGCCGCAGCGCAGCTGCTCGCTGTAACCGTATGACAGCCAGTCGGGCAGGTCGGGCGCGCCGAGCAGACTCGGCGAGAACCGCAGCGTGTCGTTCGCGCCTGGGTGAGGAAAAACGGTGAGAGGGGGAGGGGAGAGTCACTAGTCAGTGACAGCATGAGGGGAGTCAGTGAGAGCCTGAGGGGAGGGGCAGCCAGCAAGGCCAGTGATGTGCTGAGAAAACACTAGCCACACACTTGCACATGTAAAATTGGTCATACCTAGAAGCTTAGAAACAATGTAACACTACAGGATGCTTACTAGCTGGCACTCATAGTGTTCTGTTCCTGATGAAATTCTCCATGGAATCTCATGATGACGCAACAATGTGATGGGATATTGAAGTGTGAACCACAAAGTAATGATGTATAATAGGTAGGTTGATCCTGAGGCTGCTGAACCCAGGAATTAGGAGCTGGAGAGTGCAGACATGTGGCCGTGCCACTCAGAAGGAGGACTCACGGTTATCAGCAGCCCCAGAGAGAAGACTGGAGTTCAGTATAATGCTGAATACTTCTCCATGCTTGGCAAGCACAGTGGTGTGGTCTAGGGATTCTTGCAGCTCCTCACACTGAACAGCTGCTGCCAGCCACAGCAATGCTGCCAGCAGCTTCATCATGGCCAATGCTGCGAAAAGGATACAAATGTGGGAGCTTTTATAATGCCCAGTCAAATTGTACCTAGATGTGCAACTAAAAAAGGAAAACCAATCAATGAAATACCTTGGTCTTGTCTATCCCATAACTCAGTTGCTAGAGCTCCAGACTTGTGGTGGCAAAAGCCTGGCCTGGGTCTAAAATTCACTAGTGCCAGATTAAGACTTTAAGCAGTCAGTGGGCTGAGCTGCAGTAGTTGAACCCGGTTGAAGCAGTCAGCGCCCAGTGAGGCCTGGACCAGCCACAGCAGTTGAATCCAGTTGGGTCTGGGTGGGACAGCATCTAACTGATGGGTGAAATTGACTTTCACTTTGGTATCTGAATCCTTCTGTTAGTCAGAACTGTCCTTTTGGATGGTAGAAGTGTGAGTCATAGACTGCACAGGAAACTTAATACCTACCTTGAATAAGGGTCATTTTAAAGCAGGACAAATTGTTATAAATAGGGGAAAATTGGGGTATGCAATGTCTGCCCTACAATTACCAAAATTGATAGGATAAGACGGACGCCAGTCTGCAAAACGTGGCAGGCTTCGACGAGATCTCGTCGGGGCAGACACCACAGGTTGGGGCAGAAATAGGGGCAGGTTTCAGGAAGATTGGGGCAGAAACAGGAAAATCTGGTGCAGAAGTTAAAAAATTGACACAGAAGTGATTTTCTCAGCTTCTCACTGCTTCCTACATCATTATATTGTTACATTATTTGCATCATTAGGGGCAGTAATTGGGCTGCCCCTGGACTCAGCATTCTGATTCGGGGCAGGATTTTGTCTGCCCCGAAAATCTTGTCGAGCTCCCTGCCATGTTTTGCAGACTGGGACGGACGCCGGTGAAAACAGGGCGCCGCAGGGCATAGTAGTCATGTGATATTTGGAACTTCTCCCTCTCCGTGAGCCTTGTATTTGTATTGTATTTGTATTTACATTTAAGAGCGATCCACATACAAAGTGCGTGGCGATTACTGCTCAGAATCCGTATCCGCGGTTGCTAATCTAATCATTCAAAACAGTTGCACATTCACTCACGTCAAAACTAGGACAAAACACTCTCAGGACAGCCTCATCGCTTTTACCCACCCCTATCCTATTGGTCAGCGACGATGTGCTGATTCATCGTCCACGATTGCGGCTTTAACAGCGCGGGCGAAGCGGGCGGGAGGCAGCTGCGACAGGTGAGGTGGCAGGCTGTTCAGCAGAGCTGCAGCTCGATAGCCAAACCGCCGCTTGCCCGTTTCCAGCCGTGGACGGGGAAGATGGAAGAAGTGATCTTGTCTGGATGGTCTCTCGCGGATAGCGCTATTAGCGACGAACAGGGCTGCTAGTTGCTCAGGTTCACGACGCTGTATGACCTTGTGTGCGATGACAAGGGTGTGGAAATCGGACATACCGCGCGGGGACAACCACCCGAGTTTTGTTCGCAGGTCGGAGACATGGTCAAATTTACGGCGGCCGAAAATAACTCTAGCGGCGAAGTTAAGAATTTTTTGGAGTCGATCGAAATTTTTTTGGGACCCATTACCATAAACTGAAAGGCAGTACTGGATACGCGATACAACGAGTGCCGTCACGAGCGTTCGAATGATGCCATCTGGGAGACAGTGGCGCCCATGTGAAAGACCAATCAACAGTCCCGTACACCGGCGGCAGAGTTCAGAGACGTGTGCGTCCCATGACATAGTGCTGTCCAAAGTGACGCCAAGGTTCCCGACTTGTGCGCACGGTTGCAACGCTGCGTTGCGGAATGGTACTCTAAAGTCTGGTAATTTACGAAGATTTTGACGAGTGCCAAATACAATAAGCTGTGTTTTACTTGCGTTCACTTTGAGGGCGTTAGCGCAAAACCAGTCGTTGAGAGACGCGAGCGAGTCCTCCATGCGCGAGATGAGAACTTCGAGGTCCCGAGCTGGACCGCTAACCAATACTTGAGTGTCATCGGCATACTGAAACACTTTTGCGTCGCCCGCGTATAGCGATAAGTTGTTAGAGAAAATGGTGAAAAGAAGCGGCCCTAACGCAGAGCCCTGGAAGACACCCATGGCATTAGAAAGAGGCCTAGACAGCACTCTACGTCCGGATACATCTTTCAAAGACACGCTCTGAGTGTGTCCATGTAGATAGGCGGCGAACCAGGAAATTTCAATGCCGTGTAACATCAGTTTTTGCATCAGAAGATCGTGGTCAATCACGTCGAAACATTTACTGAGATCGAGAAGGCATAGCATTGACAAATCCCCCCTATCAGTGGCGGCCAGGATGTGTTCAGTGACAGACAGCAACGCGGTTTCCGTGGAGTGCCGGGGGCGGAAGCCGTGCTGGGAGGATGCCAGAAGGTGATTATGGGAGAGGTAGGCGTAGAGCTGCTGATGGACAATGCGTTCAACTACTTTCATGATTACAGGAACTAGGGAAATGGGTCGGAAGTTTGCGGGGTCTGAAGGGTTACCAGACTTGAACAGAGGGTGAACTGTGGAATGTTTCCATGAATCGGGGATGTCAGATTGGATTAAGCAGGTATTGATAATATGCAGGATGACAGCACCAATAGCGGGGAATCCGAATTTCAGCATGCGGACACACACGTTATCGGAGCCGCAGGCACTCGAGTTACGCATGCTGAAAATAATCCGCTCGAGCTCCCCCAGTGTTATCTCACGAAGTTGAAAACTGCATGCGCCGACACGGGTGAGACGCACATCCAAATCGGTGGGAGTGTTTTGGGCTCGGATCTCGTCAGCGACACGAGGACCGACAGATACAAAAAATGAATTTAAATCATCGGCAGATAGATCGGGCTGGATGTCTGGGCCGTCCTTCTTCGCGGCTACCACTGACCTGATGCACTGCCAAACTTTGTTGGGGCCCCGCTCCCCAATTTCCCTCCGTATCTCTATTCGCCTGTCTCGACGCACTGCCGCCCGGACTGAGCGGTTTAGGTCTCTGTATTCGCTCGAGTTGCGGCCTAGATGGCGAAGCGCAGCGCGACGTTGAGACATGAGGTTACGGGTGGCGGCGGAGACGGGAGGAGCGGTCGGGTTACGGATAGACACACGCTTGATTGGGGCATGGGCATCAAAAACAGGTACGAAGAACGACAAGAAAGCATGCCACTTGTCACTGACAGTTTCGGCAGAGAAGACATAATCCCAGTCGACATCGAGTAAGTCGTGATACAGTGCAGGGTGATCTAGGCGCTTAAAAGAGCGAGATGAGATAACGGCGGGCTTTTGACGCACTTTCGGCACATTGACAATCACGTCGATGATTTTATGGGGACTGAAGTGACAATAATTAACGCTGGTGTCACACACAAGTTCGCGTTTGTTAACAATACATACATCCAATAGAGAGCCGGAGGTAAAAGTTGGATTTGTTACTAGTTGATCTAAAGAATAATTCGATAAGAAGCTGATCAGATGTTGAGACGCGCGGAAATTCGGCCCCTTCAATAGGTCACAGTTGAGGTCCCCGCAGAGAACGAACGGAACTCTGGGGTAATCGATGAGGACCCGCTGCAGCTGGGCCTCGAGGTCCGTGAAGTCGGCGAGCAGGGCAGCCTCAGAGTGTCGGGGTGGCCGATAAAGGGAGCAGATGATTATCTGTTGGCCCTTGTCCAGCTTCAGCAGCGCCCACTGCGACTCCAGCTTGCTTTCGGAGCTCCCGCTGCCGGGGATCTTCAGTGTCATTGACGTCAAACTGTTTTTAGTGATGATGGCTACGCCGCCATAACCGCTGCCATCTGTGCGGTCCACACGACTGAGCGAGTAGCCCGGAATGACCAGGAGGCGTTTCGGGGTAGACGGACGTAGCCAGGTCTCGGAAAGCACCATTACGTCGTAGTTGCGGCGAGCGAGTTCGCAGGTCAGCTCTTGAAGTTTGGGTTTGATACTTTGAATATTTAGGGCGCCGATCAGCAATTTGGGCGGGTCGGTCGGCCGGCTGGACTGGAGAGTCCTCGATGCGGGGCGGGGTCCACATGCCGCTTCCGCAGGGCTGAGGGGGCGTGATCGATTAAGACAGCGGATGAGATACGCGGGAAGACTGCGCCGGATAGTCTCGGCTAGTTCACGAGTGGTGTCGTTGCTTAGTCGGTCACGCACCGCCATCAGATGTGCCCGGTCGTATGCACGTCTGGCAGATTCAGCAGTGTGATCGTCCCGTCGGTGGTCGCTGGCCGGTGTTTGGCACTCTACACGGCGAGACCCGTTCGGGGCCCCAGTGCCGGAAGCAGTCAGCTGTCCGCTGCTCCCATGTCCCCTCGCACGCCGAGCGCGCCAGCCCGCGCGGCGGCCGCGCCGAGCGGGCCGCCGGGGCAGGGGGGAAGGGTCGGCCGGCATTGTTCGTTTAGCCGGCTACCGGCGTCTCAGGCGCCGGCCGGTCCCGGTAGGGGCAGGCCCATGTCGTCCCCTATCTCCCTGTGTGTCCAAGTGCACAGATGACGTCACACGAAGGGGCGGAGTCGGGGGCGGAGCCTGGCGCAACGGCCGCCATATTTGAATTTGTTTTATTAGAATGTATTCTATATTTTGGGTTTCAGTCAATTGTTATCGATAGTTTTATGAACGGTTAGCTGTAATATAAGTGATTTATCAAGAAAAAACACATATTCTGCTTGCAATTTCGATTTAAGTACGACCCGCGCCTAGATTCGAACGCACGATCTTTGGATTACGGCGCAAGCATCCTAACCACTACACTACCGCGGCAGCGTGGCGGCCGGCGGATGGGAGGCGGCGGAGGCATGGGGGCTTTTTTACGCATTTTTGGAAAAACTAATGGGTTTAGTGAAAAACGCTTCTTAGATAATTCGAAGAAAAATGTCTTGGCTTTCCGATGATGCACTTAGTTTTGTGCTAGCTTTAGCAGAGTTTGTTCTACAGCGCTTCAAAAATCGCCCATTTGCATAGGGCTTAAACGGGACTTTAGGACTTGCCCCCAGATGACGTCACGAGCTGACGTCACGATCAGGTAGAATCGCCGGACGACCCTACCTGGTATATAGGGCCTTGGGTAGGGGTTGGTCGCCATGACAACCGAGGACGGTTGGCAGAGGGCGGAGAAGTCGTTAAAAGCATCCGCGTCGGAAAGGAAATAGTCCTGCAGATATCTACATGCTAAGCGTCATGTGGGAATTTCACGAAACTTGATCAAATCGCCCCAAGCGCCCTGTTTTCACTGTCGTCCAATAAGACCACAGCTCACACTGAGTCATTATGTGGCCCTGAGTGGCCCCAATGGTATTGCTATAGACTGACTCCGCTGCACTAAAAAATGAAAAATGCTTTCCTGGAAATAATGGAAGTGACATCTTCAGCATGGCTCAGTAGTGGGTATTTGTTTATTACTGTTCAATTTGCAAACCACTAGGTACCAAAGAGCTGTTTGAGTTCAGTGGTTACCGAAAGAAACATGGCAAGTCGAATCGAAAGCTTAGCTAACAGTTCTCACCTTTTTATTATGCCGACAGTATGCTTATATACATATATATGTGATTTAATATCAGATTAATGCATCACCGTCTTTTAATCTAGCCAATTTTAGCCTATATGCGTGCTAAATTTGTTTATAATTCTGTATAAACAATAGTTAACACGCAGAGTGTCGTCTGCTTGGCGCTTTTGTCTTTTTCGTCTAAGAAACATTGCTGCCAAATCAAAATGCAAATATCCCAATATTTGCTATTTCCCCAGTTTTGAGCGGTTAGTAGCGACTTTTTGGAAATTGTGCGCAAAGTGGTCTGCCGATCGAAAAGACGGGCGTCGTCCTCCGCCATGTTGCGTTTGAATTGTGATTGCTGTTGAAGACCGTTGGCGCTGACGCATTTCGAAAATCGAACTTAGTGTTTTTATTTTTTGTACGTTTGGCCTGTTGATTGGGCTGGTATTGCGCGTAAGTTTTATATTTATCTTTTCTGCATTTCGGCTATGACACATTGAACCGGGGTCCGGGAACAACAGACCGGACCGGCGACCCCCCATGGCCATGCAAGTGTAAACCAATTCCAAATTTAGGAATAAATCGTTTCCTGTGACTTCCCTCTAAGTCTCTAACATGACTGCAAGATCTAACAGTGCTGATTTTTCTAAGCTGTCGATTCGGGAATCTATAATGCGTTCTTATTTTTCAGGTCAAGATGGCTGGTGACGGTCAGAGGTTTTGCCTAAAATGGAACGACTTCAGAAACAGTGTAACCTCAGTGTTTGAGGATCTCAGAAAAGATGGAGAATTGGTTGACATCACACTCTGCTGTGAGGGGAAGAAGGTCAAGGCACACAGAATGATGCTGTCTGCGTGCAGTCCATACTTCCGTGATCTTCTCAAGGTGAAACTGACTGTCATTTGTTTAGTGGAATGGGGGATGAATGGTCCTATGGCTGATGCATTAGTTTTGCCCTTTTCAATTGATCAAAAATACCTGTATTTAATATGCATATTTTAAATACCTATGCCTGAGTCATGTCCCGACTGGAAAAAATGCACGCTTTCGTCGAGAACTCGAGCGTAGTTGGGCGTTTGCGCCGAAAATTTTCGGCGTACTTCGGCGTAAATCGACGGCTTGCGCCGAAATTTTCGGCGTACTTCGGCGTAAATCGCGAAAAAAAAACGTCCGGGAGTGGCACCAACCCCCCCTCGGCCGGCGAGGGTTAAATGTCTTCGGGAGTTAAACATCTTAAATATCACTTATCTTGTCTCGTGTTCGTCTCAGGGTATTTAAGTCATGTTCAGTGAACCTGATTGCGACTCTCCCACGGCGGGAACAGTTCACCGATCCAGAGTGAGGTTATGGATTGTCGGATCCCCTAGTTCAGATAACGTATGCTATCGTGTGCGTATTGACCGTTGTGATTCCTGTATTTCCGGCGTGTGGTTTGTGAGCGGACGCTGGCAATCGGTCCCGCGTGGCCTGGTATCTGCCCGATCCCATCGGCCGTGCTTGCACCACGCCTGTTGAAGGCCCCGTCAGGCGTCAGTCACCGGCTGGGCACTACTGCTGATCAGAGCCGGGCAACAAAATAAAGGTTACGTTATGGAACATGCCAGTGAGTTTGTGAGTCAGGAGATTTTGTGATAGCGAACCCTGGTGCTCGGTCCCGCATGGCCTGCTGTGTCTTTTGTCTGCCCGATCCCGTCGACCGTGCCAACAACCGTCTGTAGACAGAAGTCACTGGAAGACAGTCACACACACACGCCAGCCTCCCCCCCCCCCCTCGACGAAAAGTGCGTGGCTACAGCCTGCAGCCATCAGTAAGCCTTGAAAATTTTCGGCGCATGAAGCATGGCTTGGTAAAATAATTTCGGCGCATAAACCCTTGCGCCGAAATTTCGGCGCATCACCTCCGCCGAGAACTTCAGCGTAGTGGAGGCATTTTTTCCAGTCGGGAGTCATGTCACATTTTAAGGATTAAAATTTAAAAATGTCATCTAGCATATGAGGTTATTTATTTTAAACTTATTCCAAAATATTACCTAAAACTTCAAACCTTTTTACATTTCAGCACTTGCCTGATTTCTGATCTCTAGTCTTATTTACACTTAACTCTTGACCAGGTCCTACTTAGCATTGATATGATAGACCAAGCAGACATAAATCAGTGTCCTAACAGTTTTATTTTTTCAGGAAAATCCCTGTCAGCACCCAGTGTTCTTTCTGAAGGACACGACCTTCAGTGACCTGAGGGCTGTGATTGAGTTTGTGTACAATGGCGAGGTGAATGTCACCCAGACTCAGCTCAGCAGCTTCCTCAAGACTGCTGAGATGCTCCAAGTCAGGGGGCTCACTGGAGATGAGGATAAGGTCAGTCATTATAAGTGTGTGCTGCTATTTTTTATTTACACATGTTTATTTGTGTCTTTTATTTCATTTTTATTTTGAGTTTGAATATCTTCCCTGCATAGTTCTTTGCACAAAGTGCTAAATACCATGTCAAAGCTGGATATTGAAAGTCTAATTGACATGGCATGTGTTGTTTTAACACTTGCTTTGATATTTGGTTGTCTTCACTCAGCTGGCTGACATCTAATCATTTGCTTCCCACAGGAGTCTGTGCCGGTGCCGGCTTCTCCTCGCGCCCAGCCGCGGCCCTCGCCGGCGGCGGCTCCGCGGACGTTCCCCCGCCCCTCCCCGGCGCCGGTGTCCCGTCCTCCGCCGGCGGCCGTCCGCCGACCGATGGCGCCGGCCGCCCCACCGCCCCCACCGCCACCGGCACCGGCACCGCCCATCAACAGCTCCGCGGCGGCGGCGGCACGGACCGCGGCGCCGCCGCCCGAGTCGCCGCCCGTCTCACCGGCCACCAAGCGGCGCCGCGTCCACTCTGGCTCCGGCTCGGGCAGTAACGACGGTCTGGAGACCTCGGCGGCGGCGTCACCGGCCCCCACCACCCCGTCCGGCTCCGACACCGCCCCGCCGCCCGCCGAGGAGCCTGGAGAGCAGCTCAGGATGAGCTACCCGCACGGCGGCCAGGTCAAGGTGGAGAAGATCGACATAGACATTGCGGATGATGATGAGGACGATATGGCGGCGCTCGGACAGGTGGTGGACTATGAGGAGGGGTACGACTCGAACCAGTCGCTCGGCGCCGTGCCTGTCCCCGACCCCGGCCAAGGTGAGCGGATGGCGGTGATGGCGCCGGATATGAACTGCAAATGTGGGCGCAGCCCGCAGGGGACTTGAGCTGTGCAGTGGTTATGATTTATTTTGAATATTTTCTTCTTCTTTTTTAATATCACTGACATTCTATCAGTTTTGTTGAAATGCATTTAACTCAAATTTCTTTTTTCAAATTTCTTGTTTTCTTGCTTTGCTTTGATGTCATGCTGTGGAGCTTCAAGTGCCAACAATATTTGACCGCTGATCTCTTTCTGACCTCTCCGCATCTCTCGACAGTGAGCGAGATGCTGGCGGCAGCGGGACCCTCCTCGGACGGCGGCGCAGGCTCTATGACAGGTGGGTGCCACTGCCGGCTGGCCAGGGGTGTGAGGCACGCTGTCTGCTGAGAGGGTCTCTGGTTAGGGCTGCCCTTTATCGATATCGAACCATGAGGCGCTGAAATTTACATGGGATACTGCACGGGTAAAGGCTGAAGACGTTCCAGGGTCGGATACCGGATGCTGATAGGAATAAATTCAGGATATGTGCCGGTAATAAACAGCTATCACTGGTTTTGCTCATCCCCTGTCTGTCATTGGCGTTTTAGACAGCGTGAATTGCCGGAATATACTACAGCCTTTTGCGACCTGATACCAGCTAAACTAGCTGGCATCCAGTGAAACCACGAAAACAATCCCAAGTTAGTGAATTAGAAGTCGTGAAAAATGGTACATTCAGTTTAGGATATGATGCCCCTTTGTGATAGTTGTGCTGAAAACTATATCACTTTTGGAATAAGTTTCTAAGGGTAGCGGTAGGATGACACATGCATCATAAATCAAAATTGTCTGAAAGTGGGTAGGCGTACCCTGCATCTTTTGATTTCACGCTACTAGGCAACAACAAACGGAATGTTGTCTTCGGTCACCAAAAGTTTTACCAATGGCAATGTATCCCAGCAGAAAGATAATTAGTCGGTTGTGCTTGACTACGTGACAAAGGGACAACGCAAGTTTTGTGTCCTTTGCCGTTCCTTGCGCTTTTCAATTTGGAAGCTTTGTTGTCCAACTGAGAAAAAAATGATAAGTAAAAAAATCAATTTGCAGCCAACCGTATTTCTACAGATACTCTTCACAAACAATGCAATACTGGGGGCTTTGTGGCCGGTTTATAAAAAGCATTCAGTTGTAGCCGGTCCGGTAGCTCAGTCTGTAGAGCGTTGGACTCCGGGTGGTGAGAGCACCCGTTCCCGGTTATAATAGTCCGGGCTCGAAGCGCGACGGACGCTTGACGTTTATGAGCCTCAGTCCTGACAGGTATGGTCGCGGTTGGTGGCAGGCCGTAGCCAGGCGAAGTCAGTGCGCTATCGAAGGGTAGAGGGCAGGGCCAACGCAACAAACTTCGCTTAGTGGGGGCTCTTTCCTTGTAAATCCTTCCATTGAAAAGGTTCGGACAAAATTTAGGTATACAAAAAAGTATTTGTGCGCGATTGAAACAAATTAGGTAGGTTTAGAGACCTTCTAGATAAAGCCTCTCATAAACCATGATTGAACGCCGTCTTCTGGCCATGTTATCGTGAGTCTTTTTGTTCTTACTAAAAAAAAAAATAAGGCTCTGGCCTACTGGCTTTGGTAAACACATAGATTTGTCCGAAAAGAAGAAAGGAAATTCATTTTTAATAGTTGTGTTTGTGAGAGGTTTTGTCCCAGCAGACAGTGTCTCTCCATCCCTATATATTATGTGTGTGTATGTGTTGTGTCTGTGTGTACTGTGTTGCTTTGGTTAAGATCGCTCCGGACTCGTCATACTTTCTCAGTGTTTAACGTAACGGTAACGTTATCTTTAACGTAACGGTATCAACGTATAGTCCTGTCCGTCAGAGATGCCTAAATGAGCGTTCAATGTCAGCACATTGATAGTCCAAGTTTTCGCGTGGTAACATACTTGCCGAGGACCTCTAAAATGCAAATTTCATTCAGCTCTTTTGGTTTGTTTGAGCGTGGTTTTATTCCACGTTTGTCTACTGCAGTATGCTGCGATGCTCCATTGCGATTCCCGCAAATGTTGCGTGCAATATCTGCGGAAAACCTTATTGATACTTGCTGACAATGAGCGCTCGGTTTCGCCTTCTCTTGCATTTTGCCAATTGTCAATTTTAAGTGTCGCGTGCCTTAAAACTTATCAACATCAAAAGTATCTCACTAAAATCAAAATTGTGTAGGCAAAATTTAAGGCTAGGATCCCCTGCCAAATTGTGTAGGTACAATGTAAAATGAACATCAAAATTTGTCATGCAAAATTCACAAATGTCAAAGCATATTGAATGCGCAGGATGGTGGAAGGCAAAATTTAAGGCTAGGGCACCGACAAAATTCTAATAAAGTAAAACACCAAAATTACTGGTAAATCCACACAAGCGACTACAGTCCGAGACAGTTTGTGGCAGTAGGTATGTGCGCGGCTCGCTTCTGTGTCGCGTTCCGTGAGCGAGGGTGGGGTCGTGGGGAGGGGAGTGGAGCGAGCGATGGGCGGCCCGCCCACCGAGCTCGCCCGCGCGCCAGGAGGCGCCTGCCGTCGTCTCGTCTCTCCGCCACGCGCCGCCGCCGCCGGCGCGGTCCGTGCGGGCCTGCCGGCCCTCTGCTGCTCTCAGGTGAGGCTCGCTGCGCGCTCCTACCTGGGACTGGCGATTCACGTCTGTCAGACTCGAGAGGAGAGGATAACTGTGTGGAATTTGGTGTAATTCTGTCTGTTAGATGATCTTCAGACTTCAGCCAGTCAAATTTTCGAGAAAATTGTGTAGCAAAAGATTTTCGAGTGAATGAGGTAATAAGCGCCTCCGGTTATTTATCAAATTCTCTTGCGTGATTTACGTTTCCGATGATCATATCGTTTTTTTTCCAATAAAAATTGGTAATCACTGTTATGCATATTTTCAACTCTTTCCACTATCTTTTTTTTGGCAAACAAAACATTCGTGAGTTTCCTGGTGCCAATAAAAAATCTGTAACCACTTTTTATTACAAGACACGTAAAATTGTAAGTTAATTTGTTATCTTTGGATTTCGAATCTGACAACAGTGAAACGCCAGTCCCAGGAAACCATCCTTTGAAATTAAATGCATACAAGGAGACCCTCATCAAGCCTTAACGAAAACGAACAAAACTCAGCTGATCGCATATCACATTTTTATCCACATGAAAACTGCAGTGCGCGACCTTATTGAGAAGCTGAAAACACTACAAACAGAATCACAGCGTCAGCGTCACCCCTTCGATCGATGACCAAACGATGCACACTAAGGTGGGGATAGGTAGGAACCGATATGTCTCCCTGGCGACCAAACCGATGCGATAGCGAACTCCGAATAATACGACTACGAATATGAAACCCGAGCAATATCGAACAACCATATCGGAAATCAAACCAACTAGCTGAAGCTTGAAAAGGCAATATGGAACGTGATCGGGGCAGACCGAGGGTAGAGGTGATCTCCGAAACAGACTCGTGAGTTTCGGCATCGATGCCTGAGCGATGATCAAAAATTTTGTTATGAGGGAATGGTCCGAGATGAATGAATGATGAAACAAGGGGTGACATGGTGTCAACTATCAACTGGCTATATGACATTAGACAAAATCAATTACGGATGTATGAAACTGATGGTGAAAGATTATATAATACTGAACGAGGCCGGTGTAAATAAATTTTCAAGACCGAGGTCCTTACTGGATTTTTGAACGAGGCCGAAGGCCGAGTTCAAAAATCAGTAAGGACTGAGGTCTTGAAAATTTATCACCGGCCGAGTTTGGTATGTATTTTACTGTATGCCAACGATGCCAACGATAAATTTATTTTCTGGACCGAAGCTCTTAGCCGACTTAGGAACGAGAACATCCCAAAATGTTGGCTTAAGTGCATTCTGGTAATGCATTTTTGACCGTGGTCAATTTGCTTACACCAGTTATTACCACACCCCTCTGGCTAATGTATTTGAATAGACCAGGCATACAGTAATGAAATATACTCTACTATGAACGTGCCGCTATGAACAATGAACATTTAGTCTGATGATATATTATATCATGACGAAAGAAGACAATTGCTAATAACGGGAGTGGATGAATTTGCAAAACGGCTTATTTTAGTTGTTTTTTTTTTCGAGTAAGAAGACACACTCTTATGTTGGACTACGTTCTTGTTTGAATATTTTTTTTTCGCGCTTTCGGATACCGGTGCGGCGAAGAAAGTTCTCGATAAGGTACGTATTCTTGATTATGTTTGCACTGCTCAACGTGCTTTTGACTGCTGTTCTCATTGGCGCTGGTGGTCGATTCTGACCGAAATACTCTGGGCGGCAGGGCGGCATCAATCGTATAATTTCGTGTCAATTATCTTTAATTCGTTGCACAATACCAGCTCGTGCCATTTTTTTCGGAGGAAGTTGGTCGTTCTTACTTATTTTGGCCACGGAATGTTGCCTTTTCGCTGAGCCATCCATTGGCGCCAGCTCTCCACAGCCGCATTTATCTCTCTCCCGGTCGGTCTTTCTCCCATTTGCCTACCACTGTCTCTATTCGCTCTTGGCCGGCTCCTGACACATCCGTCCCGCACAGCCGGCGGCGGCGGCGGCGAGGGACGCCGGTTCACCTGCCTCGTCTGCCACAAGCGCTACGGCAGCCGCGAGGCCCTCAGCAACCACATGCCGCTGCACCGCGGCCTGACCGACTGCAACCTCTGCAACAAACGCTTCGGTACCACCAGCGCGCGCAACAAGCACCAGCGGATCGTGCACGGGCGCAGACTGCCCCCCGGTGGTGCTGGTGTCGGTGTTGGTGCGGATGCTGGTGTTGGTGTTGCCGATGTTAGTGCTGAAGTTATCGGGCTGGACTATGAGCATGTCGGTGTGGACGGTGGCGGATGGCCGCCACACAGCGGGATCTAGTGACGGAGACGGCTCATTGTGTGACGTCCTCTCGCCTCGTGGTTCCGTGCAGATGGGTAGCCCGTCGGTGTGAGGTGTCGCGGTGGGTCTCATGTAGACCGCGCCGTTGGTGTTTAGCTCATCGAAGTGTGCAGTGTCCGCCGGTCTAGTACTGCCAATGGGATTCTGAGAGCGGCAGTAACGCTCGTCTCGGTGTGAACCAGGCATTATGGCTTTACGTACCCCATGGCCGGAGATGACTTTTATCTAAGCCACAAACTATTGCCCTATTCTGGATTTCCCAGTTTGGACAATGCCTTCTGAAATCTGTCACTCCTTTTTTTTTTACGTGTTTAGGTATAAATGCGTTGCATTACTAATCTAATGTTCCACAGTGCTGTCGAGTGTATCAATTACCAAGGCTATTGCATCGAA